CTTAATTGACTACTAAATTTTACCAGACATGCCACAATTCCTGTCTTGACAGTTGTTTATTAAAATTATTTTAGCATAAAATTACAAGAAACTTCCAGTCTAGTTTTGATCAGGAGTGGGACCACTGGGGAGAGGGTCTCTGAGATGGTAGCGGTCACGCCGCGAGCAGACAGCAATGGGAGACTCAGCACTCTCAGGGTTACGTCAAATTTTCCACGCACCGAGACGAAAATGAAATAGTTCAATGACTGAGAGGTAGATAAGTAAAATAAACAACTAATTTTGTACGGTGGAGTGGGGAGGGAGTCATATGGACCTCATTCTGTTGTCTCCAAACACTTTATTGAAGGGGGGAAAAGGAGCTGAATAAACTTTAAACTCCCATGTAGGGATGTATTGCTTGTGTGTCCCTGGCAGATGTGGAAAGGAGATGAAATGGGCAAGGGAGAATCAAATATCCCATCGCTGCAGGTTTGCTGAGGGAAAGAGCACTGCAAAGATCTCACATCTGGCAATCATTTGTCAAGAGCTGGGAAGAGAACGGCAGGAAACTTTCTGGCTCTTGGAGAAGATGAAAAGACAAAAACCATGTGTCACACACACACACACACACACACACACACTGCAATAGTACAATGACTACTACACTTATTCTCCACCCTCTCTTTTCCTCCTTCCCCCCCCCCCCAAATTTAATGATCTTCAGATACACTCCACTCTATGGTCAAAAGCATGCAGTCACTTGACTTGTTAAAGCTGTAGTGTATGTACATTTTTCAAATAAACCCCGTGGCTGATGTTAGAAAATCAAAATCAGTCAAGCGTAGACTGCCTGGTACTTTGGGCAGGAATCCTTGTGGTTTAGTCAATAAATAGAATCTGAATGAAAGACACCATAGTAACTAGACAGTAACGTTTTGAACAGTTCTTAACTTAAAAAGAAGGAGGAGTGGGACGCATGTTGGTGACCAGGGACGGAAGGCTTCCCATCCACTTAGATCCTGCTACTTGCCGTGCAGTTGTGTTAACCACAAGGTCATCTACTGTTGTTTTTAAAACAAAACAAAAACAAGAGGAAACTTATAGCCGGAAGATGTTATGAATGAATTTTGGAAGGAAACTGCTATTAATTTTTTAAAAAAACAATTACACCTAGTTAATAAGACGAGAAAGAGAACATCACATTTTGTTTAATACACATTGCTAATAAATTCTGTACATTATTATCATCAAAGTAGTTACAGAGAAATGACCAGCTCTGCACCAGCTGATTTATCTTGGGGAGGGAGGCAGTTTTCTAGACACTCCATAAGAAATTAATGAATGACCCTAAAATCACAGAAATTTCAATCTGTTCATGGTGATAGATAACCTTAAACGAGCAGCTTTGGGTTCTCCCTTATGCTCCGATTAACTAGCAGCAGCCACCGCCGAACACATCCTCGTGTTTCCAGAAGTGTGTGCTGGAGGTTGTTTAATAACCTGGCAAATTCACAGTAGCTTGTCAAATTATTACAGAAACAGTGTCATCACTAAACAAGCCTGATCACGGTTAATTACAATGCAGACCAGAGAGCAGCCACAATTGTTCATTAATTACAGGAAGCACCTCATTTAAATTTTATGGAAATTTACACTTGCACCCCGGTATGTCTGGAGAAAGGGGGGGGGAAAAGTGATCCTTCATGCATTCACAGAAGAAAGGAGGCTGTGGTTTATGAAACATCACAGTAAATTGAGTCTAATCTGCTACAGAAATATTGGTTCTTTATTTACTCTAATTTTCTAAGCACTTCAGTGGTGGGAAATATCTAGCCAAGTCCCACATCTTCAACTCTCAAGCTCTTAAACAAGGCAGGTGCTGAACTGACCTGGCTGCAACCACTGACAACATGATAAAGCTATGTTAAGTAACTCAACTGAATTTTCGTAAGAATAGTTTGAAGTAACTAAATGAGGTTCTGACCAAAATCGTAAGCAAACAACTGATTTTATACATTTGGTTAAGGAATCTTCATGACACAAACTTTGAGCACTTGGCTGCTAACTCAAAGGTTGATGGCCAGAGTCTTCATGGGGGAGAGAACTGAAAATCTACTGGAGCCAAGATTATAGCCAAGAAAATACTCTATGCAATTCCACTCTATCATACGGAGGTCACCATGAGTCAAAAATCATATCCAGAGCAACAAGATACACAACAATAAACATCAGTGGAAATCAACATCAGTTGAGATAAAGGAATAACAGATCTGTGTCTACTTCAAAAATAAAAAAAAAGGAAAATAAAATTAAAAAGGGAATCAGAGCCTTGATTTCCAACTGTTTCTTTTCTAAATCAAATGTACAACCACAAAAACCTGGCACATGCCTTTGATAAAGACAAAGATAAAGTTCAAACATGGCAGCCATTCAAAACCAAAGATACAGTCTCAGAACAGTGTCAGGGAACCTGGGGTTTTTACATGATAAAGTTCTAAGTAATCTCAACTTTGAGGAAGAATACTTGAATCATTAAAAGGAAGGAGATAAGAACAAGAAAGGCTTCCAGTCATATGAACTCATGTTAATGGAAAAAAACCTATAAAAGTAAGCCAGATGTTGCCACTATGTGTATGTATAAAGGAAAATATTTTGTAAGAAATGATATACTCTGTTATTTCTAAATCAAGGTGTACAATAGGTGATCCTCAAAAATCCAGAAAAATAGCAAATCGTCTAAACCCAAGCTGGGGGTGGTTGGGGTATATGCCTCTGGCAATTACTACAGTGAATTCTAGGATTCACAACTAAACTTAAAAAATAAAAAATGCCACATTTCCTTGGAGTGAGGTTTTGGACATAGAGCAAGATGCATACCACCAGTGGAATGAAGAAAATGCAAACTAAAACCTCTTTAATTTCAAGTACTATGGATATCTACCAGATTATGCAAACTTGAAGGAAACCAGATTAGGAAAGAATTAATACTTTCAAAAGAGAAGAGAAGGAAGGGATAGTCTGAGCGAATATTCTACAGTTAACTATCTTCACAAACTCTACCTTTCCATTTAAGCTACCAAAATGTTGCCCCCAAATGAATAATTTTAGCTATTGCATTACTTTGCCCAAGAACTTGGTCATCATTACAATGAATGCTTCAAAGTCAACTCCACAGTTGGTTTAACTGCCTTCATAACCAGATTTCAAGTAAATTTGGTAAATATGTATTTTTCTCCCTTAATATGTCAAAGTAAAGTGTTTCATAGTTCTTTTTCAGTTTTATTACACAGACACAAGCACACACATCTGCAAAACTCATTTATCTTTGCACCGTAACTTCTGGTTAAAAAACAAATCACTGAACACAATCACCCAAGACAGACTGTTCCAGGTGATGTGTTTGATGAACACCACTCGCCCCACCCAAGGAGGTCAAGGATCACACCATCTTCTTGAAAAGTCTTCCATCATTCTGCATTTAAATGTCACACTCAAGCTGTTAGCTTTCTAAACCTGGGAAATACATGAACATGTCTCTTATGTGTTACACCTGCTCTTCTGTTGTCTGAGAGCCATACACCACCCAGAAGGTAGCAGCCTGTGGCCCAAGAGAGCTCAGGTGGTCTTCCCTAGGCCAGAGCAGGTGTGCAGGGATAACGTTCCCTCCAAGCACCAGCAAAACCTAAAATCCCTCCTACCCCCACTTCCATCTTCTCTCCACTGTGAACAACTCTGTGGTTGTTTCTTTTGCTGAGGTTCTTTTTTTTTTTAATTGTTATCTTAAGTATGGTATTTAAATGAGTTTAAAAATGTTATAAATCTCAAATTCCTATGCTAATTCCATTAACATTAGAAAATGATGTCCATTTAAAATATTTTTAAACAAATCTTTGTTTATATGAGGGAATGTCATTCATGCTAAAACTTCAGTCATTGGTTTAATCTTTGGAATTAGAAATCTCTCAAGTATTAAAAGACATGCAGAAGTAAAAAGAAGCATTCTTCTGGCCAAGATATCAAATTGATGTATTTTATTTTCAATTTACAAAAATTTCTTTTAATTCACATAGTAAAATACAGAATTAAAAGAAATTATTTCAATGAAAAAAACATATTTAGTCAACAAACTTATGCTACTAGACATAACTCCCATCCTCTGAAGAAATAAAATATTTATCTGTAAGTCCTACTTTTTTTTTTTAAAGTGACCAGGTCGATAATGGAGATCTCCTAATGTGAGAAACCAAAGTACAAGCAGTATACATAACGCAAGAAGCACACATCTTAGAACATTATAATGAGCTTGGGGGGTGGGGGGAGGATGTACTCTCATTTATTGGATGCCTGCTTTGTGCCAAGTTCTGGGCTACTGTTCAGCATACATTGTATAGTTTTAATAATTGTTTAATATCACTGAATACAATCAACTGTCATCAAATCATTTCCAACTCCTAGAAAGCTCATTTGTTAAGAAAATACTTGTGCTCCACAGAAAGAACTGTTAAAAGGAAAAAAAAAAAAAGAAGAAGAAGAAAGAACACAAATGGGTGGTTTGAGTTCAACTGAGCTGCTTCTATGGAAAAGATGGGAAATCTCCTCCCAGAAAGATTTACAGCCTCCAGAGTGCAATGGAGGGTTACCTGGAGTTGGAATCAACCCAAGTGACAGCTGGAATTTGGGGCTTTGGTGAACTTTTGATGTTAAAGTTAGGTTCAGTGAAGAGCAAAAGATCTCCTATCAATGTTTGTCAGTGTAAGTTGTCTTCCTTCTAAGACTTCATTCTTATTTACAATATATGTGAATTCATGAATGAATAACGGAGTAAACTGCAATTACACAATTACTCCTGAAGAAATGGACTCCAACTATGCATAAATGCAAAACCACAGAATCTTCCTTTTTATACCTTTCTCAAAGCGTATCCTTTTCCTAATGACAATAAAAAAACTTTATGCCATCATCAGACACCACTGATGCTGTCACACCACCCCCACCTTAGAAAACAGTAAGACTCCAACCTGGACGTCCAGCCTCTGCTCTGGCTCCTCCAGGTTTGGGCAAAAGTCTGCACCCAGCACTCTGCCAGCACATGCCACTGGAACCTAGGGGAACACGGGTGAGTTAGATGCTGGGCACAGGGGTCTGCAGAGACCTGCACACAGTCACACCCGACCCCAGCAGAAGCAGAGACATCCCAGCTCCAACAGCGCATCACGTTTCACATACACTTGGGGCATCACATTCAAGTACACTGCAAACCTTATTATGCATATTTATGAACTTGGTGCTCTTCTCTATGGAGTCAGCCCCCACCTTCTGACGACATCACGCAAAAAGGAACAGACTGCTGCCGTGGTTCTGTCTCATGCGCACCATCAATTGCAAATCAGACAACTGTCAATTTTTCCTTTTTAGTCCGGAAGTAGATTGTGATGCCTTTACTCCTAGCCTGGTAACTAGTTGAAACCTGTTCAGTATCATAGGCACACGCAAGTCACCAATGGCAAACAGGTGGTGGATGCACAGGAGGTACATCGAGCAGGAATCAAATGCAAGTTTCCAACATAAAAGACAAGAATTCTTCCAATGAACCACCCATGATGCTACATTTAAAATCTAGCAAACAGTCACTATCAAGAGGACAGACCGGCGCAAATTCCATGTGTCCTTGTAGTCATACCATGTAACCTCAAGTAGGCATTTCCTAACGATTTGTGCCGAGGCAGAGAATAGAAAGAGGAAGGTAAAAAGCACAGAGGGATGAGGGAAAGGGGCATGGAATCTCCCCTTCATATTAACGACATGCATTTTTTCCATTAGTCCTTTTTTTAACTTTTCTCTCTGAAAAACTTTAACATAACATCTTATGTCACATAAAGTTCCTTTCCACTCATGAAACATCTGTTGCAATTAACTTTTGTTCTGTGATCGATTACACAGGTTTAACAATCAAATTCTCACTTGAGTAGATCATGATGTGCAGTGACACTTTAAGACAGAAGATTGTCCTACCTGGTTTCCAGGGATACACTTTTTACAGACAGACACTGCCATTCTCTCCAGGAGCAGCGAGTAGATTTGAACTATCAACTTTCTGGCTAGTAGTTAAACATGCAATCACCATGCCACCAGGGCTCTTCATTGTATAGTCAGTCTTTACTTCTTTTTCTTTCCTTGCTTAAACTACTTTTACACTCTTTTTATGAGGCTCATTAGTTAAGACTGTCCTGGTAAAAGTAACGGAAAAAGGTGACTGTTTCTGTGTATTCAAAATTCTATGCTAAAAACTCCTTTCAAAAGGAAATGATCTCGTATAGTTAGCCAATTTAAAACAAAAACATCTTAGTGCCGTGAAGTAAACCACAATTCAAAGTGAACCTCCACCTTCTCTCACCAGATGCTGAATTTGAACCTCTGGACCCTGGCTGCCTTTTGATAAGAAGTGCAACACATTAGGGACTATTCCACTAGAGTTCCTAATTAGCTAATATTACCTCTAAATATTACCTGTTACTACTTGTTTAACTCATTTTAGAGGGTTTTTTTCAAGCTAAATGAAAGTATTTAAGATTGCATCTGATTTTTTTTTAAACAATTTTAAATTAGGGAGCTCTGGTAGACTAGTGGCAAGAAGGTGCACTGCCAGGATTCCAGAAGAATGTGGTTTGAGCCCACCAGATGCTCTGCTGGAGAAGGACGGGCAATCTCCTCTTGTACCAGTCAGATCCAATTTGACCGGACACACACAAAAATAGTAATAAAATTTTAAAAAAATAATTAAATCATGCCTTTATGTCTAAACATATGCTATCTTCAGAATCTCACATCTACTATAAATATTTAAATCTCTAAATATATACTGTTCCACATGTATCTTCTCTCCTAAAGTCTTCCACTTAAAATATGTCTTCTCTCTTAAAATCTTGTTTCTATGTAAATCATTTGCCTAATCATTTCTCATTACTCAGAGATGACTTTAGGTAACCACAATTTTATGTAAGAAGGCATCTTCCTCTTCAATTAGAACATAAATAACTCCATTTTTCTAAACACAATCCATTTAAACACATTGCACTTTGCAATTTCATTGACATTTACAAAACAGCACTTCACTCAGTCTTTAATCCTTTTCAGGTTCACCTTCATGTATTCAAGTGAGAATTTTCCCTGCCTTTAAAACCCATGAATCTGACCAATGGAGGCCATCATAGGAAGGAAAGGGAAGTCATGTTTACCGAGCACTTGAAACGGTCCAGGTGCAAGGAAGACACATCACAGAAAGATTTACCCACTTTCTCCTCTCAACAATCTTCTGAAATACAAGCATATCCATTTTACAAATGAAAAGGCTGAGGCAGAGAGAAGTTAAATACCGAGTCATATAGATAATACCAAACATGCATGCAAATAACACATACGTGCTATACTTTTACAACTATAGTATGTTCCCACTACCACATATAACATTCGTAAACAGGTGTTGTATGTATGGGTGTATGATTTGAGGAAAAATTTCAGTAACCTGTATAGCTCAGATTCAAATGGAGAAAATGGAAAGAAAAATACAAGACTGTATTGCTAGGAATTTAACTTTGAGATTATCTGCATTTGGTGACGTCCATTCTGGAGGCATCTGTTGTTATTTAACTAAGAAATAAACTACAAAGAACGAAGGAAATGATAGTAGGGTTAACAAGTCAGAAACTAGCATCTGCTTTTCAGTCTACAACAAGTGTGATAGAGAGTATATTCGCTGCCTTGGAGAACAGGCCAAGGAGTGCTGAGAAACCACGCAGGGGGGCTCTGTCACTGCATACTGGTTTTGGACTCAAGATTACAGTTGGAAGTACAGTTAGCATTTCTGCAACAGTGATTTTCTTTAAAAGGTGTAGGTGAGATAAATTAAAAAAATACACAAAATTTTAAAGATAGCTTGAATACACTGTATCAAACCAACCCCCCATCAAGTCTTTCAATAAAAGCTCAAGGTATGTGACTAAATTCACTCATTAAAGCAGAATCGATACATTAGAATTCCAAGTTAAGGGAAGAATTAGGCCCTACTTCAAGTATGCATAATAAATACCTGTTTAAAAAAATTTTTACTGTGCCACAAAAACGACATTTCCAGTTCCTTTTTATGCTCAGAGTCACAGAATACACTTTATAAACACTCTCATAAGGACAGGAGCAAATGAAATACCTACAATTATACTCAGTTACAACTTCATACACTTACACAGAATCTGAGGGGTAGAAAACACCCAATATGCTTCTCTGATTGAACTAGAATAGAATAAGCTGTATGAAGATGCCAAGAGTCGGGGTTGGGGGTGTTGGAGGAAGAGACAAAACCCACAGGCAAAACTAGTAGGGAAGTACCATACTGGGTGGCACGCTAAAGCTCAGAAACCCAAAAATACCCCCCAGAAAGATCCACGAAAGTAGTTACCCATAATTTTTAAAAGAGTTAGGTTTAATGAAACTATAAACTGGCAGCAGAATCAAGATTCGAATATACAAGTCCACCTTAAATCAGAAATAACTCCACGGACAACAGAGTAAGACCTATGTGAATGGAAAAAAAGATCTGAGGGGGGAAAAAAATAAAAAGACAACAAAGAAAGTCAACTTTGAGAACAACTATGTATGTGATGCTATAACCTCACTCATCTCAAATACTAAAATGCAATTGATGATAGTTTTAAGTTCGTTTCAAAATGCAAATAATTTTATATACATTTTGAATTATCTATAAAATGACATGACATTCCCTAGAAAGATAGGAATAGGAAAATCATTCTATAAAGCAATGCATTAATAAATATAGATCCCAAAGAGAAAAATGAATATATGCACACTAAGGTTCATTGCAGCATTACTTATGATCACTGAAAAATTATAAACAATTCCTAAAATATGGCACAGAAGAGTCTCGAATAAATCACGGTGAGTGACAATAAGTCAGTTAGATAAGAGTGTAAAATCACCACTAAAAAAGTTAAAATAAAGTTTATACATAAATTCATTATTGGATGGTTAAGTGACCAGGATGGGAAGAAAAGGGTGAATGGAGTGAAAACTGGGAAGGTGGATGAAGGGAAAGCAATATAGAAAAAAAACCAGGCTGATCAAACATAGTCATTCATTAATAACACTAATCAAGTAGCACTGGTCTGTCCATTTGCTGTACAGAGGTAACTCGTGGTGGTTCTGATACTGAACACTGTGACCCTGATATGCCAAATGTGATAATGGTTACCCATGGTGGACAGTGTTTGGTGGAGCTCCCCGGTTAAAACAAGCTTGGAAACAAGAGTGGCATCTACTTCCGAAACGGCTTGCCTCCGGAAACTCTATGAACTTGGAGAAATGAAGAAAGTTATAAAAGTGTTCAAGTCTTTCATTCATATGGTCACTACGAGTTGTCTACAACTTGACGGCACTTAACAATAACAACTACAATCAAGTATATTATAGAACACAGTATGTGTATGAGTGATTGAATGAAAAAGCAGTATATTTGTTAAATTTTATTAAAAAAAGAAATAAAACTCTCTAGATATTTCAGAGCTAATTTTTTATTACAGTCACCATGACCTGAAAACTATCCCAGTCCATATCCAATTATCATTATGTATACCACCCTCCCTCTCTAAATTAACTATCAGAAAATATGTAGTGTGGAAGGCAGAATAATTGCTGTCCTCTTCCTAACTTCTGTCCCTTGGTGTCATTAGGTATGGTTAAGTCAAGTACAACACACAGCAGTCTCGTGAACAGCAGATTAAATCCAGCCCTACCTGGTGCCATCCTCACAATTTTTGAACCCTGGACCACACTGCCGCAGTGGCTGACCCCCAATCTGGGCTCTACCTCTTGTATTATATCTATCTGTGCTTCTCCATTGTTCAAAGGGTTTTCAGAAGGTTGCTATTTCAGAAGTGGATGGCCAATCGAGCTTCCTAGTCTGTCTTAATCTGGGAGTTCCACTAAAGGCTGTCCACCAAGGGTGACTCCTGTGACATCTGACACACTGGTGGCACAGCTTACACCATCATGCCCCTTACTCATCTCAAAAGAAAAATCAGCTGTAGGATGT